AATGGAACCACTTGTTGAGTAGCTGTGTGTCCAAGTAAAGCTTTTAAAACTGCAGTGTTCGCAGCACAAGTACAGGACATGAGTGCCACTTCTATCAAGTGCAGCTTCCCTCAGCACGCTGCATGGGCAGCGCTTATAGTGTACCTGCTTCTGACTTGCGCAGCAATTCCGTTTAAACATCCCCTTCCACTTTTTTCAGAACTCGGCAGCGCGAGGTGTGAAAAAAAAATGATTAGGCGTGACAACGTACACAATGTGTTCTTGAATGGGGCACTTCTGACTGCAGAGCGGGCGCTGTGAACACGACCCACCTGCCACAATCAATTTTCATTTGTAAGTACACAGCCGTTCTTCGTCAGGGTGCTCCACGGTAGAACATAGTGCGTTTTATTTATTTTGACACAACGTGAGGCGATCGTGTAGTGGGCATTTCAAAGAGAAAAGCGAGTTCGTGCTTCGTGAGCATAGTCGTGTCTCCAAGAATGCACTGACCAGGGTAGAACGCTGCGCTCGGCTTCTTCCTTCGCGCGATCAGGTAACTACGCAAGCGTTCGCTTGACGGGCCCGTTTTAGCAGCTTGGCTTGCAGGAAGGAGAGGAAGCTCTCGCAGATGCGGTGATTGATTCGTGCATGCAGACACAGGAGAAAGACGACGACGCGAACGAAATGCGGTGAATGTACCAGATGTTGAATATATCACGGCAATAAGATATCGAAAATCAGCAATCTCCACTGATACGATAGAAAAAGTAACTACATGGACAGACTATAACCACCTCATGTTTCCATGGCAACCCCACTGGAGTCAGTCCAGAAAGCTCGAAGTCTTAATTACTAAATTTCGATGTCGTGTCCCCCCCCCCCCCCCTAAACCTATATCTACACAGAGCTGGTCAGACAACATCACCCCTCTGCGCATTCTGTGGAGAAATGGAATCACTAAATCATTATTTTTTGTATCGTCGCCGCTACGATATACTTAGAAAAAGGTTACTAGTTATGCCATTTAGGAAAATAGGCCTTAGATTGACGACAGAAACGGTGCTAAGCTTTGGTGCCTCAGTTTTGGGACCGTGCCACAGGGATGCTTTCAATGCCGTTTGCGATTATATTCAGGCAACCAAGCGTATACCTTTGTGATCTTCAATAAAAAAATATTATTACTCCCCAGGGCAGAGTGAAGTAAACGCAGCTGAGTAGTAATCATAACACCTCAAATCTCAAAATTGCTCAACTTAATTTTTTTTCGTTTGCTCTTTTTAAGTTGTTTTTATTTTTACATTAGTCTTACTATAATACCAATTCATTACACATAGTTAAAATGATCACATAAAAACTGCACTACACTTTCTTGGCCAATCCCCCTGAGTGGGTATGAGCCAACATCCCAGGGAAACAAAACAAAACAAAGTACCCAGCGCGATCAGGCTACTACACGAGCTGCTGCTCGCCTGAGCGATGACGCAATGATATTGCAAAGAAGGACGGGCGGGTATGGCGAACCGCTGGGATCACACTGCCGAAATATCAAGTGGGTAGCCCTGAAGAGGGCTGTTGTGTTATCGTTGGCTGGCTGCAGGCGACGCTGCTGGCTTCTTAGCCTCCGAATCCGTACAGGGTGCAGCCCAGACGCTTGAGGGCGTACACGACGTCCATGGCTGTCACGGTGTTCCTTTTGGCGTGCTCGGTGTAAGTTACAGCATCGTGAATCACGTTTTCGAGGAACACCTTGAGAACGCCGTGAGGTTTCTCGTAGATGAAGCCAGAAATACGCTTGACATCGCCACGGCGCGCCAGGCGACGGATGGCCGGCTTGGTTATGCCCTGGATGTTGTTACGCAACACCTTGCGATGACGCTTGGTGCCACCCTTCCCGAGCCCCTTCCCTCCTTTGCCGCGGCCAGACATGACGGCTTCAGAAGTTCTGCTTCTGCTTTGAAACGCGCCGAGAAAGCGAATGCTCCATATGATCGGTGGTAGTGGTTGTAAGGAACAGAAAAAGGCACCTAATTTCGAAGAGAACACACGTTCAGCTACACCATGCAATACGTAAACGTCAAGCCGAGCAGTGTTGTTTGCCGGCCGGCCTTGCTATATGTTTCTTTCGTCGTTGCGTAAACGGAGCACTCGGTGCGAAAACAGGAAAATGACCATTCCTCCTGTCGAGCGCCTTTCTTTACTGACTTTCGTACTTCTTTGTACACTATATATATCACCTGCGTGGTACCACTGTTATGCGTAGGCACAGCCTTTTTTTTTTTCAATCGGGCTGTTGATACTTTGCGTTCCGACAATAATTAGCATGCAGTCCGCCGCCACGTTTTCCCGCTTCGACAGCTATTGTCACATGCGTCTATACATTCTCCCCTATCTTTTCTTGCATCAATGCTTCCACACATTTTTCACCGCGTCACGCACTTTATCTACATTCACTCCTCCTACAGTCTCGAAACGGGCCTGCCCTGCGCTCTCAAGAAATAAATGGCCCAATTTCGTAAACAAATGAATGGCGCGGCAGAGAAGGAACTCGGTGGTGTCCAGTGAATGTGGCTGTACACTTTACATCGGGCGACGGCTATCACCACCTAGCCATAATGCTTAGTTAACCAACAACTAGATTTATCTTTTTTTTCTTTAATTGGTGAAGTATAGGACTGGTACTTTGCATTGAATGGTATAACTTTCACTCGTGCCTTGACTTTACCAACCAATCAGATAACCACCTTCTAGTTAATTCTACCCACTTAAAGTCTATTTTGCCCTCCCTGTCTCTAAGCCCCGGTGCTTTGAAAAACTCTGCACCATCATCCTGAACTATTGGGTGAAGCCCTTTACAGAACATTATCAAGTGTTCGGCAGTTTCTTCCTCTCCGCATACACTGCATACCGTGTCTACCCCTTTGTATTTGGCCCGACATGTCGTTGTTGCTCATCACATCACATCACATCACATCACTTTAATACCTTAAACACCCCCATGTAGGGGGTATTACATAAGGGGTGGGTTACAGGTAAATGTACACAGGTTTTCAAATGGAAATGTGCGGGGTGACCTTCCCTTTAAATGTTGATGGACACGTGATGGCTGGAACGTCACAGAGAAGGACATTCCAGTCCACTGCTACACGGGGGAATAAAGAGGCAGAAAAAGTAGTAGTGCGAGCATGTGGACGGGTAATTTGAAACGCGTGGGCAGTGCGGTGAGATATGCGCGTCGGTGGGACGATGTAGGGTGCTTGATTAAGAGGGCTGTCAAAGAACTTGTGTAGCAAACAAAGGCTGGTAATGCGGCGGCGCACTGAAAGATTCGAAAGACCAGTTTCACGTTTAAGGGATGATATGCTTATGTTATATGAATATGAAGAATGTATGAACCTAGTGGCGCGGTTTTGCACAGACTCTAATTCATTTATCAAGTATACCTGGTGCGGGCTCCATATGGGAGCTGCATATTCTAGTTTAGTTCGGATTAAAGATTTATAGGCGAGAAGTTTGATGTCAGGTGGGGCATGACGCAAATGACGCTTCAAAAAATCCAGAGTTCGATTCGCTGATGATATGACGTTCGTGATATGCGTGCGCCATGAAAGATCACTGGATAAGGTGACGCCTAGGTATTTATAGGATTTAATTTGTTCAAGAGTAGAGTTATCTATTACGTAAGAAGAATGCAAGGGATTATGCTGGCGTTGAAAAGAAACGAGTTTGCATTTAAAGGGGTTAAGCTCCATCAACCACAGGTCGCACCATTGCTGTACACGATGAAGGTCATTTTGAAGTGCAGTTTGATCAGAGGAGTTAGTAATTTTGTGGTATAGAACACAATCGTCGGCAAACATGCGAATATGAGAAGATACATGCATGGGTAAATCGTTAATATATATCAGAAACAGAAGGGGTCCGAGGACGGAACCTTGGGGGACTCCCGATGTTACCGAGAGGGAGTTAGAATGTTTATTTCTAATATCGACAAACTGGGAACGGTTAGCAAGAAATTCTGAAATCCATGCAAGAATTTTGGGGTGCAGATTCAACTGGGCAAGTTTTAGTAATAGGCGTATGTGTGGTACCTTATCGAAAGCTTTAGTGAAGTCTAGAAAGATTGCATCAGTCTGGAAGTTACGGTCAAGATTAGCGTGCAAATCATGAGTAAATATAGCTAGTTGGGTTTCACAAGATAAAGATTTACGAAATCCATGCTGGGAAAAATGAAAGAAATTGTTAGCGTCCAGAAAGTTCATTATGTGAGTGTATATGACGTGTTCCATGATTTTGCATGAGACGCTGGTTAGTGAAATGGGGCGGTAATTTAGGGGTGATTGTTTGTTACCTGATTTGTGGACCGGAATGACCTTTCCCACTTTCCAGTCTTCTGGCAGCATTCCTGTTTTAAGCGACAATAAAAACAGCATCGACAAATACACTGCAATAATTTGTTTAGTGTTTTTTAACAGTTTAGAGTTAATGTTGTCAACGCCAGCCGATGATGAAAGTTTAAGTCTGTCGATAAGGGACGAAATTCCAGCAACAGAAAATTTCACTGGAGTCATTATCGGTAACGTCGTAGTAGGTGGCGAGGGAAGTGGCGAATCGGCGTCTTTTGTGAGTTTCCTTTTCAAGCAAGCGCTGACGTGAGTTTCCTTTTCTTTCACTCCCCTAGAACTGAACACACTCGAGTTCATGTTACCTTTCAGAAGCGGCCATCTTCCCCCTGTTTTTTTTTTAATTACCACGCTCCTGGTTCTGTTTTACCTGCATTACCGTACTTGTGCAACTTTTCTCTGTGCACTCGGTCTTCCCTAATTTACCTGTTCAACCTCCCCGAGCACACACGTCAAGCGCGGCGCACCAACGCTCCTGCTAGCGGTGTTCAACAGAGAGAAGAGGATGTATTTAGAGCCGAATATCTCAGCACAACCCATATGCCGACGCAAACAATTTGGGTGGCTCTGAGAAGAGCCGTTGATTTGTCGTCGCTCATTGTGGCCCACGATGCACGCCTACTTGGAGTTGGTGTACTTGGTGACGGCTTTTGTGCCCTCGGACACCGCGGTCTGGATCTCCCGGCTCCTGATGGTCGAGCGCTTGTTGTAGTGAGCAAGGCGTGACGACTCGGCGGCGATACGCTCGAAGATGTCGTTCACGAAGCTGCTCATGATGGACATGGCCTTGCTAAAGACACCAGTGTCGGGGTGCACCTGCTTCAGCACCTTATACATGTAGATGGAGAAGCCCTCCTTCCTGCGGCACTTCTTCTTCTTCTTGTACGTGGCGCGCACGTTCTTCTGCGCCTTGCCGTCCTTCTTGACGGCTTTCCCAGACGGTTGCGGAGGCATGATTTCGCGCAACACGAACGCAAGACGAGTGTCGAATGCGCATGTCACCCCAACCAAGTGGCTTTGAAAAGAGGAAAAAGGAAGAAAAAGTGCAGTCCCGTTACTGCCTCTCTTAATCGAGGGCACCGTCACAGTTATTCGCAGGGAAGCGGGGAATGGGAATTAAAGAGACAAAAGAGAAGAGGTGGGAGAAGGGTAGTGACAAACATTCGATCACTCGCATCACGCATGCGTGCGCAAGAAAACAAACGTGGCATACGTAACCGACCGAAAGACCGCCGTGAAGGCGGAGGCGAAGAATGCGCCCGAGTAGCGAGGAAACACACACACGCGCGCGCGCGCACACGCACACACACACACACACACACACACACACACACACACCACTTGAACATCGAATCTGAGGTCTCCGCAGTGTGTGCGCATGCACGAGGTGCAAGAGAGAAAAAAGAAGGATGGCGAGAAAAATTGTTTTTACAGGATGTGACGTTGCATTGCTTTTTATCTTTTTTTGGAAAGCAACTACTCTCGAGCTCGGTGTGCCCTCCCAGCATTTTTAAAGCGGACGCGGCCACGGAGGACACAACGCTAGAAATGAAAATATGGCCGTCACGAATGAGTGGTTTCCTTCCTCCATGCGAGCGCAGATATCTCGCGTTGTTGTGGCGATGTCGTACGTGTTTCTGTCGGCCAAAATATAAAGCAACCGCGAACGACGACCGCTGGTGCCAGACCTTCAAGTCTCATCGCCCACGGTAAGCCTAGTGCGTCGTTTTCACGCAGCTTGGTAATAGTGGTTATTCATTTCTGCTGCTCTTCACCGAATGTTGCTAGTTAACGTTGTGCCTACCTTGAAGGTTCCTTTTTTGTCGTCAGATGCCTGGACGATCAATTTCTACTGCACTTCCTGAGCGCGGCACGCTGAATTCATGGGCAGGTCGGCGCGAATGGTCTTCGTTACGTAAGCAAGCTATTTCATTGGTTTGTTTTGCTAAATATGCATTGGTAAGACAGCAGCATGTGTGCCGGCCCACGTGCTTCCTCACGTTGTAATTTCTTACCAGTATCGCATCATTCGGTTTCGCTGTCATCGTAGACGAATGCGTAATGTTTCGAAGCTGAACCACTTATGGCAAGCGTAAACTTGCCGATGCCCCGAACATTGTTCTCACTAAAGGCAGCACTCTTTGTTCAGCTGCGTAGTTTTGGTGCCACTGAGTTGTAAACGTTTCTAGAAATGCGTCGTTTGATTTAAGTGGGGAAGCATGAGGAGCTGATGCACGTAATTGTATACAGTATAATCAGGAAAACCCGTATTTGGAAACTTTGTAGCATTAAGTCTAGAAATAATGGGAAACGCTTCATTAATAGCGTTTAGGGTTTCAGCCAATAGATAGCTCGACCGCGACATCATGAATGTAGCTTCGGAATGTACTGGCACTCCACGATTGAGCCTGACAGCGAACGAGCGGAGTCACTGCGAAAAAGATCTGGCCGGAACGTCTGCATGTCCAACGAAGGATGTATGAGATGTTTTGATGGTATTGAAAGGGTCGGGAAGCGAAAATGAAGCTGCCCGGCAGTAAATGACCCTGCTTCAATAGAGATGAGACATACAGATCCCAAAGCATTATCTTTAATTAATCATGCCATTTTGAATCTCTCGAGCTCCTAAACGTCCACGGGGCCTTGTCTACCACCATAGGATATGAAAATGAGACGTCAGTCTAACGTCATGGCAAGAAAAGTTATTAACATAGTGGTAGCCTTCGTTTGCTCAAAATGACAGATTTTTTTAGGAAGCTAGGACATAGCCAAAAATTAACAGCAATTCTCATGCTCTCAGCTGTGTATACCATAGAAGTACAGCGAAGGATCTGCCTATTTCTGTTTTCAAGTAAATCTGCGCTCTGTCACCTTTTGCCTTCACTCGCTTGGTGCCGCAGATAAGTTTTTTTCTTGCTGGTTTCATTGGATTGCATTCTGCAGCGTGTTTTGGGTGGCTTCGTCCTCACTGTGCATACCGCATGCGTCATCATACGGTGCCGCACAACTTATCAAAGTGGAAACAACGTTTGTGACTACTTTTCAGTGCTGCCATCGAGACGATGTGATGCCACGAAGCTCGGTCAGTAAACGTAACTGGGTCACATGTTTTGTCGACGATAGGATTGGCCGCCCTAAAGCAACGTCGGCTCTGCACTGGAGAAGAACGCGAGCTGGGAATCGAATGTAACGACTAAATGAACTTAGCGAGGTATAGTTGTGAATAAACCGACATGAATCTGAATACACATGTAGTTAAGGCTTTTCAAAAAACGTTTTATAATCCCTTTTATATGAAATGGCAGATGATGTGTCTTCACATACTTGTGTCTCAACACGGCGGTTTCAGTGACATCAAAGCATGCCATCTATAAGGGGAGCCTGTGAACTGCTCAATAATTGACTTTGCCGATGCCATGGGCAAACTAATACATCGGGCCTGGCTTACGGCTGCGCTGACAGTAGTTTGAATTCTGCGTTTATTAAGACGAAAGCCTTAAGCCCCTTGTGACGCGTGAGGTTCACCTTGAAAAATGCTGTGCGCAGTACGGAAATTTCCATCACCTTGGTGAGGTTAATAAAAGGAATAATAATAAATTAAAAAGGTGGAGATCAATCCAAAATCGAACCCGGGCACTCGAGCATTCTGCAACAGAGCCACGCCGGTGCTTAAAAAGCGCTGCTAGATCCTGTAGAGTATTAACTGAGCTTAGCTACAAGATGGGGCCAGTGAGTGCCCACATTTGGCCAAAATAGCCGTTGGTCAGTGATCTGACATATGCCACTTTGATGTCTTGTTAAATGATGAGGAAACAAAAATCCACAACAATATACTCAGACCAAGCACCTTGGTCGTGGTAATAAGATGACGACTGCACGTGACCACAATTACGGCGGCTGTGGCACTAGTGCTCCTTGTGGATGACTTCATGTGAATACCTTCTGTACAGTTGTCACACACAAGTAGTTTTGTTAACAAATGTAATCTCACGTGGCACAATTGCACGTGGCATCAGGCTACATGAATTTAGTTGGATCTTGACAACACGTAGCCGGGATTCTATCCTGCGACCCAGCCGCCGAATGCCTTAGCCACTATACCACTGTCATGGGTCCAACACGATACTGTGCCGTGGACTTGTTTACACTCTGATCGTGTTCGTATTGTCGCAAGGGGCTCCACACCTGCAGCCATGCGGCACGCACTTTAAAAGTGATTTTGAACATATTCTAGGCTATATTTGTCTTTGGTATTGTGTAGATGTGTGTGTCTCGAGATAAATAGATCTCGCTCATTATCTCGCCTTCAAAATTTTCTGGCGGCGCTCCTCTAAGTGCATTGTAGTAATAGTTATATATATATATATATATATATATATATATATATATATATATATATATATATATTATGGAGTCTTGGTTTGGAAGACCTTTATTAGGCCCGAAGAACCGGCAGCCGACAGCTGAGATGATCGGACCAAGATGATGATGCTTCGCGACAACGATGAGGATGCATGAGCCACACATGATAATGATGATAATGTACCGGTGAAGAGGATGCGTATACTAAATGCCCACATCAATTCCCTCCACGTGAAAGCGGCCAGCCTGGCCGCGGCAAGTCAAGGGGACAAAGAACGTCGCATGAAGGGCTTCATACGGGAGACATGGACGACCTCTGTAGTTCGATAACGGCGATCTGCTGGGGCTACAAGTGGCGTCACGCGATAATTCACTGGTGAAGTCTCTTCAAGAACTGTGTACGGTCCAATAAACCGAGGCTGAAATTTGTCGCACAAACCAGGTGTGCGAACAGGCGTCAAAAGGAGCACTTCGTCTCCAGGTTGGAAGAATACATCACGATGCGATTCATCATAAACTAGCTTTCTGTCTTCCTGGCGGGCTTCAGTGTTTATACGAGCTCGTTGCCGGCACTGTGCGAGTCGTGAAACGTATTCCTCTGAAGAGGATGGAGATGAATTCACTTGGCAGGTAAAGAAGGAGACGTCCAGGAAAGTAGTAGGGGAGCGTCGATAAACTAGGTAAAATGGCGAGTAGCCGGTTGTTCGCTGAATGGCCGTATTGTAGGCGAAAGTGACGAATGGGAGAACAACGTCCCAGTTTTTGTGGTCTGGTTGAATATAGGCGGCGATCATGTCTGCAAGAGTGCGGTGGAATCGCTCAGTGAGGCCGTTAGTCTGGGGATGATAACTAGAGGCAGTCTTGTGAGTTGTGCCGGAGGCCTGAAGAAGTTCGTTCACTAGTTGTGAAAGGAAGGCCCTTCCACGGTCACTGAGCAACACACGTGGAGCACCATGACGCAGTATAATGGCTCGGAGGATGAAATCGGCAATCTCAGAAGCTGAACCTGTAGTAACGGATGCCGTCTCGGCGTAGCGCGTCAAATGGTCAATGGCTGTTACTATCCACCGGTTTCCAGCAGCACTGACTGGGATGGGGCCATAAAGATCGACGCCTACATCTTCGAATGGTGTGGCTGGGCACGGAAGAGGCTGTAGTTTACCGGCGGGAGCAGATGTTGGTAGTTTTCTACATTGGCAGGTAGTGCAGGACCCGACGTACCGAGCTACGCTAGTGGTAATGCCTGGCCAATAAAACCGACTTCGAAGGCGATCGTAGGTTTTATGGTAACCAAGGTGACCAGCAGTCGGATGGTCATGAAGTGCCCTGAGGACTTCGGACCGAAGCGATCGGGGTAGAACGGGAATCCAGCGCTGACCGTCAGGATGGTAAATTTTGCGGTACAGCACCTAGTTGTCCAGCTTAAATTGTGAGAGCTGGCGACGGAGCCTTGCATTAGGTGGACGGGAACTGCCAGAGAGGTAGTCTATAATACGTCGACAGTATGGGTCAGCCAACTGTCGAGAAGGAAAATCGTGCGGGTCGTCCGAAGGCAGCTGGTCCATAGAGGCGAGAGAGGAAACCGCCGTAGACGTGGACTC